ACACGGAGCAGAATGCTGCCAATTGGCAGTCCTTAGTGGCGACCAACGACGCACGTTGGGCGGAGCAGCAGAGGGAGTGGAGGGAGTTCACGAGGATCAACGAAGAGCACTGGACTGCCCATGACAGCCGATGGGACACCTGGGAGGCACAGCAATACCAGCATCCACCACCGCCACCACCGGACGCACAGTGACTTGTCACTGTGCTTTGTATGTTTTTCTTTTCCTTTCTCTTTTATTTTTGTATAGCTTCTTTGATTTCGAGTCGGTTTATTGTATGGTGAAACTCTCTTTCATTGCGAATCGACAATGGAGACATTGTCCGGTTTTAAGTGTGGGGGAGTTTTGCGTGCTGACGTGACTATGTGGTGGACCAGGTCTAGTTTTCTTTTTAGGTTTGTTTTTATTTCTTTTCTCTTGCTTGGTGGACCGGTCTAGTTTTTAGGATTTTTCTTTTGTTTCGTTTTTCTGAGCTTGGACTTTGGTGTATTGTAAGACTAGTTGATAATCAATTGATTAAGTTAAGGAGTTGTGATTTTGAGAACGAGTGGCATATTTTGACTATTTTGCTTGGTTAGTTTGAATGACATTATCTACGTTGTGAGGCTTGAGCCATACTCGTTTTCTTGAGAGACGTTTGGTTTGAAAATTTATTCATCTAGGATTTGCTTTGAGTCTACTTTGAAATGAATCGATTGAATTTGTGAAACGTGAATATGATTGAGGCGTTCCTTGTATTTTCTTCTCCTTTTTTTTTCTATGAATAACAATCACTAGTCACCCCCTTTGAGCCTTATATGATTTTATTTTTAACCTCATGATGATGATATTGAGTTGTGGGTTGAGAATTGGAGGTGTTAGCTGATTGAATTGTGAATATGTTTTTTTGTTTTTTTTTTTTTTTTAAAAAAAAAAAAAAAAAAAAAAAGAAAAAGGGGAGCCAAATGGATTATACTCCTAGCGCTCGATCCACTTTAGTGGATTCGAGCCATGAGTACGGGAAACCGGTCTAGGAGACTCGAGCTGAAAACTCGATGGTTAAACCTAGATAAGATGTCCAAATGGTTCTCGCAAAAAAAAAAAATTTTTAAAAAAAAAAATAAAAAAAATGAAAGGAATTGTTTGAGAAGTAGGTGATTTTGGAGTTCGTAGGAATGAACCGGTTGGTGATTGATAACCGGAGGTGTTCACGATTACGGATGGGTGATGGAATTGAGTTGAAGTTGTTTTTATCTAGCCACTTAGCCTATATGTATCCTACCGATCCAAAGAGCCTACGTTACAACCCGAGAAGTCATCTTGATTCATCGTTTCACGGTTTCGATTGTTTTGGAGTAGAAGTTAGACGATTGGCAAATCTATGAATGATGGATTGATAACCAACTTGAGTGCACCTCTTATATATTTACAAAAGAAACTGAGTGAGGCATATGATATATTTTCGTTCTCGAGAGTCTTTGTCATTCGAAATAACTGAGTTCATGGTTGATATGTGTTCTCGTGATCATTTGAATTCTTCGTGACTTGATTGATTGGTTTGAGATTACTCTTGCTTGAACCATTGTCCTTGCTCGTTTATTTGCTTTCTTTTGTTTTCTTTTCTTTTCCTTGTTCGGGACGAACAAAGGTCTTAGTGTGGGGGAGTTGTTTGTCCCGTTTTTGTTGCTATTTTCGTTGCTATTTTGTGTGTTGTGTTCCCCCGTTTTAGGTCTTTTGCTAGGATTTTCCGGTCATTTTTAGTCATTCTCGAGTTTTTAGTATTTTTCGTTGCGTTTAGCATTTTCGTTGTTATTTCTTCTATTTTTTCTTGCTTTTGTGTGTGTTCGATGGTGGTGTTTTCAGGTTCCCAGGAGTTCTGCGTCGGTTTGTAAGATTGGAGCGTTCGTGGATTAAGTTCCTAGCTCAAGTTAGACCCGAAGGACGCTAGCCGAGACCACGTGAGTCCAAGTCGACAAATTTTTGGAGCAGTCCAGGCCATAGCGCCGCTATGCCCATAGCGCCGCTATGGCCTGTTGAGAAAGCGGCGTTTTGCGGTAAAGCGATGGGCTGCAGCTCGGGGTATCCCAGCCATAGCGGCGCTATGACCATAGCGCCGCTATCCCCTGCTCGTAACCGACAGCGTTTTTCGAGGATTTTGAATTTGGAAAGCATAAGGGTCGAGCCTAGGGCATATTGTTAGGAATTCAGACTTTGTTTTTTTACAGTTTTTCATCTCTAGAACATTTCTTTTCTCTTACTTTGATCTTGGATTGAATTTTGGAGCATAAAAACTCCTTTTCTAGCTTTGGATCTTGGATTGCTCGTTGTTTTTTCTCGACATTGGTTTTTCTTATCAATCGTAAGTGTCTTTTCTCATTTAATTATGATGTTTTGTGCTTGGGTTGCTATGAGTTCTTGTGTTAAAATTGCAATGAGTGGCTAAATTCATTAGCTAGGGTTAGGGGATCATCGTTCCGGTTCGATTTCATGTATGCGTTTGATTAATTTGCTCAATCTTTTCGAGTTGTGAATAACCTAGGGTTTAGATGTTTGATCACCATCTCAATCTAATTAATCGATTTCTAAACCGAAAGGGGAGAAATCGTTCGACCTAGGCTCGTTAAGAATAGACTTGTTCGGTGACGTATTGTCTATATGCTAAATGATTCGTGATTGATTTGTTTATGCTTCTTCTCTTGTTTCGTGAGATATTGAGATTGAACCTCTAGATGAGTTAATTCTTGAGTCCTTTGGTTGAGTAGTTGATTGTTCGTAAATTGTTTTGAGAACCGGAAGCGATATCCCCGATACCCTAGCCCCTTTATCATTATTTGAGTTTAAACTTTAAATTGCAAGTTTGAGATTGTTAGCTTGTTCTTATTATTCGTAGTTGATAATCAAAATCCCCAAATTTGAATTAGAATGTTTAGGTCTTGTTTCTTATTTTCGTGTGTTGAATAACCATGCAAAATAGTCCGGCTAACCTTCCTTGTGACACGACCCGGTGTCGAATCCTTGGGTTCTACTTCGGTTAAAAATATTTAAAACACCGTCTGTGGGGATTCTTTGTTCAAAAAGTTGTGTTTGAAGCTCAGCTATGGCGGACGGAATTCCTAAAAACTTGCAGTCGACGTTCGACGAAGCTTGGACGACGACCAGGCCATTGGGGCACGGCCCTTCTCCGGGTTTTTCTAGCCCATCGCAGACTCCGGTCACTCCCGCACCTAACTTCCAAGGTGTAGGAGCGACGACGGTGATTCCCGGAGGAGATGCCAGCTCCAGTCAGGCCCAGGAGGCTCGTGTAGCAGCAGCAGCGGAGATGCCCCCACCACCACCACCAGATCCAACACAACGGCAGGGAGGAGTGCTGACACAAGGAGGAGTGCCACCACAGGCAGCCGTACAAACCCCCGGCCAACAAATGGTGGCAATGACCCGGGAGGAGATGCAAAGGATAGCGGCGGCCGCGGCGGCGCAGGCGGTGCAGCAAGTTGCGAGTCATATTTCTCATGCCACCACTGCGCCGACCACGGTGGCCGGAAGCCAGGATGAGGATGTGTCTAGTTATGGAGAAGGAGGAGCTGGAAGAGATCGGACGATGGAGAGGATGGCGGAGCAGTTGCGCCAACTGCAAGATAAAGTGGAGGGGAGGCTAGAGAGGAGAGCTCGAGGACATCCCTTTTCAAGGGAGATTCTCGCTGCTCCGTTGCCAAACAATTTCAAGGAGACCAACTTGGGGTATGACGGGTCATCTGACCCATCGAGGCATGTGAGGACCTTTGAAAATATGGTTGTGCTGCATGGGTACTCTGATTCTGTTTGTTGCAGGGCATTTTTATCGACCTTGCGTGGAGGAGCACTCGATTGGTTTCACCAACTTCCACCTGGGTCAATCGCGAGCTTTGAGGACTTTACTGGTAAGCTTATCAATCAATATTCGAGCGCGGTGGTGCAGGAGAAAACGTATTTGACTTTGATGGCGATGAGGCAGGGGGAGAAGGAATCATTAAGGAAGTATGTTGCTCGATATAACCAAACATGTTTAGAGGTGCACTCGGCTTCGGACGAGGTGAAGGCGGGTGGATTGATAAGGAGCCTTCGAGCAGTGCCTTGTCGAACTTCCCTTGCAAAAACCCCTGCTCGATCATATGAGGATGTGCTGAAGCGGTGCAGAAAGTATATTAACCTGGAGGAAATGGAGATGGAGTTTGCCAAGTTGGAGGGAGTGGCTCGACCAGAGCCAAAAAAGGAGAAAAGTCCGCAGAGGGGGAGATCGCCGAGGAGAAATTCGCCCAAACAGAGTGGGCAGAAAAGGGCATCACCCCGAAGAGAGAGTCGAGATTCGAGAAGGGAGAAGAGGGATGAGTGGCAGAGAAGGCCGATGTTGTTTGAGAGACAGAGATACGACACTTTCACGCCCTTGAGGAAAGACATGACGGAGGTTCTCGAGGCCATGGAGCAGAAGATGTCGAGTGAGGATGTGACTTGGCCGAAGACGAGGTTTACAGGCCCAATTCGACCTAGGTCAGATATTTACTGTCGCTTTCACCGAGATTATGGTCACACCACGGAGAATTGCAGACATTTGAAAGATGAGATCGAGAGGCTGATTCGAGCAGGATATTTGAAAGAATTTGTGTATCATGATAGGGTGAAGGGGAAAGGAAGGAGAAGGTGTAGGGAAGACTCAGAGGAAAGGAGCGATAGAGATGAGGAGGGAGATGGTCGGGACGGTCGAGGAAAGAAGCCAAGGAGAGATGGTGATAAGGGAGGACATGGAGGAGAGGCCCCGATGAAGAGAGGAACTATTTACATGATTTCCGGTGGGCCAACTGATGGTGACTCGAATAGGGCCATGAAGGAGCATGCTCGAGCAGTGAAGAGGAAGAGAGAGGAGGCGGGAATTACGGCCCGCATGCCAGTGATAAGTTTTAAGGCGGAGGATGTCGAGGGAGTGGTCCTGCCGCACAATGATGCTTTGGTGATAACCGCGGAGGTCGCAGGCTTCGATGTGAAGAGGGTGTTCATTGACACCGGGAGTTCGATAGATGTGATGTTCTATGACCGTTTTGTGCATATTAACAAGGAGCTGAATATGGAGCTGAAACCGGTGACCACGGCACTCTACGGTTTTAACGGGGGAGAAGTTATGCCGATGGGAGAGGTCAGTTTGCCCGTGGCATTGGGATCGGGAGAGTTGAGGAAGGTGCGCATGGTGAGATTTGTGGTTGTAGGGGCTGAGTCGTCCTATAACATCATCATGGGGCGGACGAGTTTGAATGCATTCTAGGCGGTCGTATCCACGTACCACATGACGATCAAATATCTAGTGGGCGAAAACGTAGGGGAGATTGCCGGGGATCAGCTCACTTCGAGAAGTTGCTACCAGACGACAGTCAGCAATAACAAGAAATTGGCGAAGAGGCAGGCCAAGTCGAAGGGGGAGGAGATCAATCGACCAGGAGGATCGAGGTCGAAGGAGGATAAGCAAAAAGTATAGAAATGTAAGGAGAAGATGGATATCCAACCTGGGGAAGAAGTGGAGGAGATTCAGATGATCGAGGGGTGTGATGAGAGAAAGTTTAGGATCAGAAAGGATTTGGAAGAGCCTATTCGGTCGAGGCTGATCCAGTTGGTTAGGGAGTTCGCTGATATTTTTGCCTATACAGCAGAGGAGTTAACGGGAATAAGTGCGGAGGTGATCGAGCATCGGTTAAACATCGACCTCAGCGTGAGGCCGGTGAAGCAGAAAAGAAGGCACCATGGGGCGGAGATGGACAAGATCATCGAGCAGGAGGTCGAGAAACTGTTGGGAGCGCGACACATTAAAGAGATTCAGTTCCCCGAATGGCTGTCGAACACGGTGATGGTGTCGAAGGTGGAAGGGAAGTGGAGGATGTGCATTGATTTCCGAGATCTGAACAAAGCATGCCCGAAGGACTTATATCTGCTGCCCAGAATTGACCAGCTGGTCGACTCAACGGCAGGGTGCGAGCTGTTGAGCCTGATGGATGCCTCCCAGGGATACCATCAAATGCCCTTGGCGAGAGAGGACTGGAAGCGGGTGAGTTTCGTAACGAGTCGAGGGACCTATTGTTACGTGGTCATGCCGTTCAGCCTAAAGAACGTGGGCGCCACGTATCAAAGGTTGGTCGATAAAATCTTTAAGAACAACTGGGGAGGAACATGGAGGTGTATGTGGATGATATGTTGGTGAAAAGTAAGGAGGAGTTGGACCATGTGCGAGATTTGAAAGAAACGTTCCTAACATTACGTAGGTATGGGATGAAGCTGAATCCCGCTAAATGCTCTTTTGGGGTGAGGTCAGGAAAATTCTTGGGTTACTTGGTGACCAAGAGAGGTATTGAAGTCAATCCAGAGAAAGTTCGAGCTGTGATGGAGATGAAATCACCAACGAATGTTAAAGAAGAGCAGATCTTAACTGGTCGAATTGCGGGGCTGAGTCGTTTCATATCGAAGGTGGCGGAGAAGAGCGGCCCATTATTCAAAACGCTGAAGAAGAGTGCGAAATTCCAATGGACAGAGGAGGCACAGAAGGCATTTGAGGAGTTTCGAGGGGTGCTGGCCAACCTTCCATTGTTGGCTAAACCCATACAGGGCGAAGAGTTGGTGCTATACATTTCTATTGGAGAGAGGGCTGTGAGTTTGGTGTTGTTGCGAGAGGAAGGAATAGCGCAATTCCCTATCTATTATGTGAGTAGAGTGATGCAGGGGGCCGAGACGAGGTACTCGGTGATCGAGAAGTGTGCTTTAGCTGTGGTTGTAACTGCTCGAAAGTTAAGACCTTATTTCTTGAATCATAAGGTGAAGGTGCGAACTAATATGCCGCTGGGAGAAACACTTGGTCGGCCATCAGTCTCTGGTCGATTGGTGAA